ACGAAGGGAGAAGCCTCCTCAAAACGCTCTATCACATCTGGGAAAGGGAGAAGCCTCCTCAAAAGTTTCCACATGAAGACAGATACCTTAGAAGGTATCCCCCCACCCCGGATACAATATGACGATAACGTTAATCTCGCACTTGGTCGAAAGCAGTCATAAGCCGAGGAGAAAGAGAAATTACCAGAAGAGGAAGGCATCCAAACAAGATCTCCAACTACTTGAGTTGTGTTTTCCTCTACAAAATCTGCCACCACTTGCATACGCCGCCAAGTTAGAGAGCCAGAAGCTCTGGACAAACGCTCGGTATAGCGAGCCCGCATGAACACACTCCATAAGGAACCTCCTTGTTTGAAATTGAAACAAATCTTCGCGGAGTAACCAAGCTGAATCGAAGTCAAGCAACGAACTCCCAAACCATCCTCTTCTGGGGCAATTGTTATGCCGTGGAACCATGTCTACTTGCAAAGTGGACACGATTCCATAGCATAATTTGCCCTTCTGGGGGCAAGCAAACTTTACTTCAAGAAGCCTAATGCCGTTTCTGTTTTCCATCACTAGTGCCCCAAAAAATTATTTTCTTTAGTTGTTTTTAATTGTTTTTAAATTTAATTTTGTGTGTTTAATAATATTTTTAATGTAGTTCTTAAATATATAAATTTCATATACTAATATTATACTTAATATTACAAAAAATTGAATTAAACATAGAAAAATATTATGTATACTTTTATTTTATACTCTAACTTTTATTTTCACATATAAAATTTTGATGTAAACACATGTATTAAGATTCACATAAAAAAAAATAGCTTATCAAATCCGTCACATCAGAAAGTAATATTTGAAAAGTACATTAGAACTCTTGACAAACAAAATAGGATGAAGAGAGTATAATTTTCGTTCAGTGAAAAGGGAAAAGACTCCCTCTGTTTCACACTGTCACACACATACCTTCCTTCTAAGTCATCCCAAACCACCGCTCTCCTCCCACTCCCCACACCGACCTCTCTCTCTCTCTCTCTCTCTCTCTCTCTCCTAGGAAGACAGACATGGGTCAGATAGATGGAACTTAGAGAGCATTCATACGCATACGGATTGGGATTGATATTACCCGCCCTTTGAGAAAAAGAATGAAGGTAAAACCCCCCAAGAGTGAAGCTACGTGGGTAGATTTCAAATATGAGAGACTACCCTCATTTTGCTTCCTGTGTGGCATTATAGGCCACGCTGATAAACACTGTCGGAAACTTATTGAATCACCACCGCCAGAGAGATTATTTGGACCGGAAATGAGAGCTACCGGTAGGAGGCAGCCCCCGCCGATTGCACAACAATGGGTCGTTCTGGAGCGCCCTCGTAAGTGCACTGATAAGGAAGGTGGCAGTGCTATGGGTAATGCTGCAGATGGTCAGAAGCAAAGTTTATCATCAAACAAGGAAACATTTCAAATGTCGTCTGAGGAAGGCATTAATGGTGATTCAGAGTATAACGACAATAACCACAGTGCACATTTAACGCAGCAGGTCGAGGCTTTATCCACAGGTCAAGACTCTGAACATCCTTTCCAATTGAATGTTGACCCTCAATCTATCTGGGCCATTTTGCGACATACTACAAATATTGGACACGAAGAGCCCATATTGACAAGCCCATATCCCTCAACCCATGAACAACCAAGGAAAAGGAAGGAGATTGATGGGCCGGGGGAGTCTGATGCTATTGAGTTGGTTCAGGACAATATGGTTGTGGATGTCTCAAAAAACTTGTTGGAGGCGGGACCTGCTTCGCAGGCCCGCCTATCATAATGTGTCTTATATCTTGGAACTGTCGCGGGCTTGGCAACTCAGAGACAGTTCAAGTTCTATTGGACTTAGTCCAATTAAAAAAGCCTTTTATTTTATTTCTTATGGAAACGAAATTAGGTGTTCAAAGAATGGAAGGAATTAAATTAAAATTGGGCTTTGATTATGTTTTTGTGGTGGAAAGCAATGGGTTAAGCGGAGGATTAGGATTATTCTGGAAGAAGTCTGTGGATGTCTCAATCACAAATTTCTCAGCAAACTTCATTGACTCTACGGTCATCTTAGATAATTCCTCTAAAGTGTGGCGCTACACCGGATTCTATGGGTGTCCAGAGAGTAACAGAAGGCGATTCTCTTGGGATTTGCTTAAGCGATTGTCCAATGTCAATAATCTACCTTGGGTGCTTGCAGGCGACTTCAACGATATTCTCAACCAGAATGAGAAAATTGGTCCTAATCCCCAACCCCAGTGGCGTATTCGCGGTTTTAATGATGTAGTGGAGTATAGCGGCCTCAGAAATTTAGACTTCCAGGGGTACCAGTACACTTGGGAGAAAGGTAGAGGCAGCCCTAACTGGGTTAGAGAGAAGCTGGATCACATACTTGTTAACAATGCCTGGTTGGATATCTTTGGTGATGCAAAGGCTGTGTCTTTTGAAGCTCCATTGAGTGATCATCGACCCCTTGCTTTATGGCCAATTCCGACTGTGCGGATAATGAGAAGGAGAAGGTTCCGTTTTGAAAATTATTGGGTCAAAGACGAGGAATGCAGAACCATCGTAAATCAGAGTTGGAGGAGTACTGAAGGTTATAATCTTTCTTCCAGACTTGAGTCATGCAGTGTCGCAATCTGGAAATGGGGGAAGAATGGTTATGGGAATTTTAATCAACATATTGATCTGGCTAGGAAATGTATGGAAATGCTAAGGTTTAAAGTGGATGCTCGTGGACTATCTGACTTCTCTGCTGCTCAAAAGGATTTTCTCCAATTACTCGAGCAACAAAACTGCTTTTGGAGACAAAGGGCAAAATTATTTTGGTATAGAGGAGGAGATGTAAATTCTAAATACTTTCACAATATGGTCACTCAAAGGCGCAGGAATAATACCATCGCCAAACTTCGGAACTCTGATGGGGATTGGGTTATGCAAGGAAAGGAGATGAATAAGCTTATCAAGAGCTATTTCACTAATCTTTTTGACAGCTCTGCAGGTGACCAAAGCTCTGTCCTACAGTGTCTTAATCCGATTGTATCTAGAGCTGAGAACGAAGCCCTCATGCGAAAGTTTACAAATGAGGAAGTTAGAGCAGCGGCGTTTGGAATGCACCCGGATAAGAGTCCAGGTATTGATGGCTTGAACCCTGGATTTTTTCATACTTACTGGGATATTGTTGGAAGTTGCATTGTTTCTATGTGTAATGAATTTCTCAACATTGGCCATCTCCCTAAGAACTTAAATCAGACTCACATTGTTTTAATTCCCAAGAAATCCATCCCTGAATCTATGGCTGATCTTAGACCCATTGCACTTTGCAACGTGGCCTACAAGATCCTTACTAAAGCCATAGCCAATAGATTAAAGCCCATCATGAACTGTCTAATATCTGAGAATCAGAGTGCTTTTGTTCCGGGAAGGCTTATCACGGATAACATTATGGTGGCTTATGAGATGCAGCACTTCTTGAAGCGTAAAAACCAAGAAAAGGTTGGTTTTGCGGCCCTTAAGCTTGACATGAGCAAGGCTTACGACAGAGTTGAGTGGCTTTTGCTTCGAGCTGTTATGATTAAGCTTGGTTTCGGGATATTTTGTGCTCAATGAGGGAGAGGAGATTGGTCCCATCATTCCCAAAAGAGGTCTCCGTCAAGGCGATCCTATATCACCTTACTTATTCCTCTTTGTTGCGGAAGGTTTTAGTGCTATGTTAAGAGAGTTTGAGAAAAAAGGCATGATTCATGGAATCTCTGTGGCTAGATCAGCCCCTTCCATATCCCACTTACTATTTGCAGATGACAGCTATATATTCTTTAAAGCCAATCTCACTGATTCTGTCAACCTGAGAACTCTCCTTAATCAATATGCTACTGCCTCTGGACATATTATCAATTTCAACAAATCTTCTATTTGTTTCAGTGGTAATGTTGGAGAGGATATGAGGGAAAGAGTAAGTGTTGTTTTAGGTGTTAGTATGGTTGGTGATAATGGAAATTACTTGGGCTTACCAATGGTTGTGGGAAGAAACAAGAGGCAAATCTTGGGATTCATCAAGGATAAAATTATTGGGAGGATCAGAGGCTGGAATCAAAGATTACTTTCTAAGGCTGGGAGAGAGGTTCTTCTAAAGAGTATCATCCAAGCAATTCCCTCTTATGCAACGAGTGTATTTCTTCTTCCCAAAGAAACTATCAAGAAGATTGAAATTATCATGAATACTTACTGGTGGAGAGGTAATCACAGTGGGAGTAACAATGGTATTCGTTGGAAATCCTGGGATAAATTATGTACTCCCAAAGATTGGGGTGGATTAGGCTTTCGCAATCTAAGGAATTTTAACTTGGCAATGCTCACTAAGCAATCTTGGAGACTTATCAACCATCCAAACTCTTTGGCTGCTCGTGTTTACAAGGCTAGATACTACCCTTGTTCATCTTTTCTGGAGGCAAGCAGAGGCTCTAACCCTTCTTTTATTTGGAGTAGCATTAGGGAGACCCATGATATCATCAGGAAACATAGCAGATGGAGAGTGGGGAAGGGAGATTCTATTCATATTTGGAAGGACAAGTGGTTACCCGATAAGACTAATCCAAGAGTGTCTTCCTTCCCTTATCCTTTAATGGAAAATGCAACTGTGGATTCCCTAAAAAATCTGAATGCGAATTGCTGGGACGAGGAAATCATCAAAACGATTTTCAATGATAGAGATGCTGATTTGATATTGAGGATTCCTTTGCCAAATCATGAGTCCCAGGACAAAGTAATTTGGGCTCCTGAGGATGATGGAGTTTTCTCGGTGAAGAGTTGTTATAAGGTTCTCAATGGGGTTTTAAATCATGAAGAAAAGAAGACTTGGACAACAATCTGGAAACTTAACCTCCCTCCAAAAATCAAAGTTTTTTTATGGCAGCTTTGTTATGAATGCCTTCCAACATGAGAGATGCTACGAAGAAGAAGAATAAACTGTGAAGATATTTGCCCCATGTGTAATGGAGAGTTTGAAACCAGCTGGCATCTGTTCGTGGATTGCAAGATCTCCAAGGAACTCTGGAGGGCAGTAGACTTTAATTTCATTACCTCTTCAACCTGTTCATTCACGCACTGGTTCACTATCAATATGCCTCATCTTAGCCTTACTCATCTTGGCCTCTTTATCACTATTTGCTGGGAAATTTGGAGGCAACGAAACGATAAAATCTGGAACAACAAGAACATTCTACCTGCCATTGCCACACTCAACAAGGCTAGAACTTTCTTAGATGATTGGAAGATGGCGAGAGATAACCCACCGGGGTCTACGACGAGTCGCGACCAAGAGGAGGGCAAATGGAGCAAACCTCAACAAGGCTTTCTCAAGTTAAACGTTGATGCAACTATTGACATGGCAAACTCAAAGATGGGTGTCGGCTGCGTCGTCCGGGATGAGGATTGAAACTTTGTAGCGGCAAGAGGTATCCAAAGAAGTGGTGTCTACACACCAAGAGAAGCGGAAGCTGCTGCGATACGAGAGGCATTAAGCTGGATTAAAGCTTTAAATCTGAACAAGGTGCAGGTTGAGACAGATTCCCTAAAGGTGGTTCAAAGCTGCAAACACTCTATTGGAGAGTCTTCCTTTCAACTACTTATTTGTGACATCAAAAACCTTTTGAGTTGTTTTACTCATGTGTGTTTATCTTTTACCAAACGATCAGCGAATCGAACAGCTCACACTATTGCTAAGCAGTCCCTTTCTATGTCTGGTTGTTCGGAGTGGTTTTCTAACCCTCCTCACTTTCTTTGTAATGTGCTGTAGTCAGATTTAAGTTAATGTATCTGCTTTATTTCTCCAAAAAAAAAAAAAAAAAAAAAAAAAAGAGTATAATTTTCGTTCAGTGAAAAGGGAAAAGACTCCCTCTGTTTCACACTGTCACACACATACCTTCCTTCTAAGTCATCCCAAACCACCGCTCTGCTCCCACTCCCCACACCTCTCTCTCTCTCTCCCAGACAATTTCACACTTCTCGGTCCAATTAAGTTCTACCTTTCTCCGATCACAAGCAAAAGCTAGGCATTTGCTTCGTCTGATCCCTCCTTTCTCTCTCTAGCCGTGAAATTTATATATATGTATATATATAGGAGCTGAGAGAGATGCCAGAGGTGGTGGAAGGAGCAGCAAAGCCTCCGCAAATCTCCGAGATGTTCCAGAAATTCGCCCACGCCTTCAAGGCCAAGACGTTCGAGCTCTTCGCCGACGAGGAAACTTCCGCCGCCGCCGACGCCGACGTCTACACCCTCCTCGATTCCGCCGAGGAGTTCATTACGGATCAGAAAGTGGTGGTTATCAAGCCCGATTCCTGCAAGTACCCGCCGTCTCCGGACCCTACGGCGAAAGCCCAGTTCACCAATGCCCTCGTTTCTTCGCTCTTCGCCAACGTTTCATCGTTTGAAGCCTCGTATCTCCAGCTCCAAATGGCCCACGTGCCTTTCGATGAGAAGGCCATTGAATCAGCTGACAAAGCTCTGGTGTCGATTCTTCAGAAATTGACTGAAATCAGGAATTTGTATAGGAGTTTCAAGAAGCACCCTAGCTGTAATCTTGAATATTTTCCGGTTGGGTCGGTTTTGGAGTTTCAGGTGCAAGAGAATCAGAGCAAGCTCAGGGCTTTGGAGACCATGGTAAATCAATTACAGTCTGATATTGAGTCTAAGGACGATGAAGTTTTGATTTTAAGGAAGAAGTTAGATAAAATTCATGACACTAATACCAGTTTATCCAGAAAGTTAGGGGTTAGAACAGAAAATTTGAGTAATAGCATAGATGTGTTGTTAACAATTCGTGTTTTTGAGTTAATGTTGCGGGATTCATTAAAGTCTGTGCATTGTTTTAGCAAGTTATTACTGGAATTGATGAAAAAAGCTGGGTGGGATCTAGGGCAGGCTGCAAGTTCAGTTTATCCTGGTGTTAATTATGCGGAAAATGGGCATGAGAAATACACATTTCTGTCTTATGTTTGTTTGGAGATATTCCGAGGTTTCGATAAGGATGATTTCGGTATACTTGATGACAACAATGTTTGCAATGGTAATGGCTTGGTTTGTGGTGGTGAAAATGGTTATCTGAGACAATTAATCGAGCATGTCTCATGTAATCCAATGGATGTCTTGCAAAAGAATCCAAATTCTGGTTTTTCAAAGTTTTGCGAGAAGAAGTATGAGCAACTGATCCATCCCACGATGGAATCATCCATCTTTAGCAACATGGATCAGAAGGAAGTCGTATTGGATTCTTGGAGATCGTTGAGCGTATTCTATGAGTTGTTTGTTAGGATGGCGAGTTCGATATGGCTGCTTCACAAGCTAGCGTTTTCGTTTAATCCCGTGGTAAAGATCTTCCAAGTGGAGGGAGGGGTTGATTTCTCGATGGTGTACATGGAAGACATTACAAGGAAAAGCACCTTCTTTTTGGGTAAAACTAGGCCCAAGGTCGGTTTCACAATTGTTCCGGGGTTTAAAATTGGCCAGACGATCATTCAGTCTCAAGTATATCTAACCAGCTTTAAGCATCCGGAGCAGCATGGCTCCCAGCGGGATTTGATGAAAATCTGAAATTTGCATTATGTAGTGACTGATGGTCGAGTATTATGTTCGATATATTGGTCAGTTGAATTGGCTTAGCGTATCAAAGAGCCCAAATTTGTAGATCGAGTCCATGTTACCAAAGCAACAAGAACTCAATATACAAGTGTGTGTTGCCCTCGACACGGGTGGGACAGGCTCAAGTGCGCGATAGGTATGCGGATGCTCTTTACCCGACTTGCATTTATGTAGTTATTATATTTGAGTCGAGTTTGTATATCTGTGTTTGCATAGGAATTCCAGTGGCTAATATTTCTTATGAGTCTCAAAAGAGATGTATATAAAGGAATATGATGTTATAGGGGGAAAGTGCTTCACTTTCTCCTTTTCCATTATCTTTTTTCCTTTGTTGTTTTGGATTACAGTAAAACTACAGGATCAAACTTCTTGTAATTGTCAATCTGAATATGAGACCACTAGGTTTAACTTGTTCAACGATGTGATATTACTTCTTGATGTTATTTCTTTTAGGCAATTCATGCTATTATATAATGAGGAGGAACATTCATTTGGTTTGTGGTAGTTGATTTTTCTGAGAATTCTTCAATTTCTTGCCATATTTAGAATGGGTTTGCGTTTGTGAGAGCGGTTAGAGCAGTTAACCTCCCACCGTTCTCCGGGTGACCATTTTTTTCTTTTTTTGGTGTGAACCACGGGGTGGTCCAGGTCTTTTTCTGTCCGTTTAACGGTCCCTCTACTAATCCCCGTTCGCTCCGAGAGGCTTTGGGAGCTGGCCCAAGGGGAATCGTCACTTGTGGGATCGAACCCACATTATCCTGGAATTCTCCCCCAGCTCATTTGCCACTTGAGCTACCCTTTTGGATTCCGGGTGGCCATTTGAATGAACTGTGGTTGGAACAATTAGAGCAGCTCATCGTTCCTTTTAAATGGAGGGATAAGATAAGTTTGACAGGAGCAGTGCAATTTGGGTGGTTTAATTGTTTCAATCTTTTTGCCCGGGTTGTAAAAATTGGCCTAGGCGGCGGCTGTCTAAGTGCTGACTAGGCGCTAGGCGCCCCTAGGCACCTTTTAGTTGGTCAGCTGATTAGGCGCCTGACTTAGCCGAGTCGGCACTTAACTTAGTCAGCTGAGTTTTTATTAAAGGGTTTATGGTGGTTACACATTATTATTATAGGCGTTGGCACCTTGATGTCCCCTTCAATGTTAGAGTTGAATGAAGAATTAAGGCACTGTGATTGACTAGCAGTAGCTGCCCAATTAAGGGTCTGTCAGTGGTGTCATTTAACTGTCAATCACCAATCACAATACATAAGTTTCCTTGTAGAAATTGCATCATTTGTGAAAGGGTGGTTGTGATTGAACGAAATTTTGCATTTTATGTATGTGGTAGAGTGGTAGACTTTCATATTTGTGTGTCACAGTGATTCCACGATTGCTTTTTATTTATTTTATTTTATTTTATACCCTATATCAGTGGGCTATGTCCATCTATGGGTTGGCACGGGCTTATAGCCCATATGGATCGGTTTGGCAAATTATACTATGACCTTGTTTGGCAAATTAGCGTTAACCAATCGTTATATCCTACACCACGGCGCACATAGCACTGTGCGCTGCGCGCCTCCCAAAACGACGTCGTTTTGGGATAGTGTTGGGAGGCGCAGTAGGAAGTTGCTGAGATTATGTGTATTTGTTCACAACGTTATGTGTATTTGTTCACAACGTTATGTGTATTGGTTCATACAGTTATGTGTATTTTTTATACAATTATGTACATCCGAATCAGAAAATTTGTGTGTATTATGTTAAGAGTTGATGTGAATTATGTTAAAAGTTTATGTTTATTATGTATTATGTTAGATTATCCGTATTATCTTTTAAAAAGAGTATGTATATTGTGTTATATAATTATGTACATTCATGTATAACATTATGTGTATTCTAGTATAACATTATGTACATTCTTGAACAGCGGGTTTTTTTTTAAAGAAAAAACTACTGCCATTCACTGGGGCGGGAAATTTCAAAAAAAAAAAATAATAATTAAAACAACGTCGTTTTGCATCTGGGCGCATAGTGCAACGCGCACCGTGGTGTAGGATATAAATTGCCAGCGTTAGCGGATCATATTAGCGGTTCACAGATAGCGGATTGTGTTAGCGGATTTGACCAGCGGATTATATCAGCAGTTTGTAAAAAGATGTTTAGTAAAATTACCTGTTTAGATTAGCGGTTAACATGTAAAAAGACCTAAAAGGACATTCATAATAATAATAATAATATTCTTATTATTAACTTCATTATCTACCATCTACATCTACAATCTAATAAAATCTAATAAGAGTCAATAATGTTAGGCCCTTAATTGGAACAAAAAAATGTTGGTTGTAATTGTTTCTTAAAATAAATGGTTCATATTATTTTAATTTTAGTATTTTTAATGATTTTCTTTATTTACCTTATATTATATTATTTTCTTCCTTAAATAGCTTTAAATTCTGTTAGTATAAACTTTAGTAACGGAATATTTCGTTAAATATTTATTATTCTTAGCTTACTCATTAATTCTTATAAGAAAGATCTTAGGTCCAATTAAAGTTGGCATAATTGTTAAACATATACTATGAATATGTTAAAATATGTTTAAAAATATAATATAAAATTTAACATATTTTCAAATAATTAGCCCGACTAAATACATAGCATTCAATGTTGAACATCAAAGATATAAATCAGGAATTTTAAAAATCATTTGGTTTTCTTGCATTAAAAAAAGTTTTAGGTTAAGTTTTTTTTTTTTTTCATTTAATTAATCTTCTTTTGATTATTTAGAACAAAATTTAATATTTCAATTATGCTTTTGCATTATTTGAATTATTTAGGTCATTATGGTATTAATTTTTTTGTATATATTTTTATAATTGTACAATTGTACATTATTTTACAAATATTATATTATTAATTTTTATCCGACAAAATTGTTCTTACATCATTGTCAGACCTGCACAATCTAACTATAAAGTTGTTGATCATAAATATTATTACACTTGGACCTTAAAATGGTAGAACCATTTTCCAAATAATTGACAATATTAACATCCACTAGCTCCAATTGAACAAGTTTACACATTATAGTTTTATCAATGCATGAATGAAAAATATAAAGAAATTTGTAAGTTAATTTTGACTATATCATTACAATATCTATTGTAATCATATATTTTGAATTATTTAATTATTATCATCCTCTATTGACAACAATTGTAGCAATTGTCATTGACAAACTCTCAAAACAATTTGTCTCAATAACAAATAGAAATTAAAAATATTAATGATTTCATTATTGTGGATGAAAAGTATGTACGCCACTTTATTACTCTTATTAAATTAAAAAAATTAGTAGCTACAACAAAAAAATAATACATATGTATTTAATTTATTAGAATTAGATGTCTATAATGCGTTTATTTAAAAAAAAAATTATTCATTATAAAAAATTTAAAATGAGATATAATTTCATTATTTATATTATCTTTATTTTCTATAATTCAAAGATTTCTTACCTTCAAATTTATTACAAAGTAATTTATTATATTCACTACATTGTCCATTGTCTTCTTTTTACATTATTATCTTGTAAAATTATTTTGAAGAGACATTATATTGTAATTAAATATCAAAATTATAATACAAAATATGTTATATATATATATATATATATATATATATATATATATATATATATATATATATATATATATATATATATATATATATATATATATATATATATTGGTAGGGAATACCCCGACCGACATGCCTTGTCATTTATTCTTGTTTATCCAGGTTACAGGTCGGACTTTCTTGGAAGAATCCGGTCGTGCCCGACCGGGTTAGTACCCGACCGAGGTCTTCGTTACCCGAGCGAGAGCCCTTTGGCGCGAGAGCCACCAGGAAGCACGTGGCAGCGTTAGGCGTTGACAGGCAGGGCTTACGGGGTGAAGACACGTCATTGCTACGTGGACGACATGCCGAACGGCCGGACTTGTGTCTCCTGCCCAGCGGTTATAAATATCGGCAGTAGCCATAGTGTGAGGGACTTTTGGACGATCGATAGGTTGTTGTTAGAGAATCCCGACCGCAGTCAGTCGGTACTCAGAGCAACCACTTAGATTGTACTTAGGGCCTTCGCTGTGATCAATAAAGACTTTTAATTGCTTTAAGTGGTCTCGTGTTTATTTAATTACCGCATTACATGGCAATTAGTACTATCATTTTGGCGCCGTCCGTGGGGACCCGTCCACGAAAGCTAACGTCTTGACGAGCACCCGTCCTTCTTATCAATCATGTACCCGTGGGCGTACAATCTATCCGGTGATGATCAAGCGGATGCGGCCAGTTTATCCGATCACCAGCCGAGCCAGCAGCAAGGTCAGACTATGGACCTCAATCTGAACCTTTCACCACCGCATCCGTCTACTACATACGCGGCCCCTCAACAGCCGGTGAACTACATTCAACCAGGATACCCAACACCCGGTCATCAATATCAGCAGCCGCTCCAGTACCCCGGGCAATACCCTTACCCGGTCCCGCCTCCTCCGTACGGGTATTGGCCCGCCCAGCCGATGTATTATACACCACCAGTCGGTTATCCCCCATACACGCCTGCATACACGGCTCCAGCCGCCGCCCCTCCAGTATACCCAACCGCCCAGGTCGAGCCGCAGCATCAGCCCACTTCCTGGGTTCGACGCTCGGCTCGTTCGCGGTTGGGGTTGGGGGGTGCTGATGCGATGGAGGTACCACGGCCGGCCCCAGAAGCACAACCGGAGGTTCTGGCCCAAGCGGAGGACCCCGAGGAGATCAACCGGGCAGCGGCTTTTGATCGTCTCCGACCGGCGCTGCGACAACGCTTGGGACCCCAAGACCCGAGCCGGCAACCAGGAGATGTACAGATGCAAGAAGCAAGCTAGGAGGCTTCATCCGGGCATAGCGGGTCAATATCA